ATTTTTTTGAAGAACCAACTCTTTGTTTTGTTGATTCTTTCTATGGATTTTTTGGATTCTAATTCATTTAATTCTGATTTAATTTTAATTATTTGTTTCCATCTACTGGATTGGGGGTTTAACTTCCAGCTCTTTTCAAGGAGCTTCAGATGTCTCATTAAATTATTAGTTACAGATCTCTCCAATTTGTTGGTGTAGGAACTCAGAGCTATAAACTTGCCTCTGAGTACTGCCTTTGCTGTGTCCCAGAGGAGCTGGTAATTTGAGTGTTCATTTTTGTTGAATATCATGAACATTTTAACTTCCTTTCTAATCTCTTCCATGACCCACTGGTGGTTCAACAGTGTGTTGTTCAGCCTCCATGTGTTACAGGACTTTCTTTGGTGGCTTTTGGTGTTGAGAGTTCTAATTTTATTCTCTGTGTTCTGAGAGAATGCAGGACATAATTTCAATGTTTCTGAATTTGGACAAGTTTGCTTTGTGACCTAAAATATGGTCTATTTTGGAAAATGTTCTGTGTGCTGCTGAGTAGAACGTGTGTTCTGATGCTGCTGGGTGAAATATTTGGCAGATGTCTGTTAAGACTAGTTGTTTAGATCTGTGGTTTCTCTTTTGAGTTTTTGCTGAGTTGATCTATCTAGTGGGGATAGTGGTGTGTTAAAGTCCCCTACAATTAATGTCTGTGGATCTACATGAGATTTGAGGGAAAGAAGTGTGTCTTGGATAAATCTGGGTGCTCCCTTGTTTGGTGAATAGATACTTAGATTTGTAATATCCTCCTGAAGGAGAGATCCCTGAATTAGTATGTAGCGACCTTCTTTATCTCTTCTCACTAATTTTAATTTGAAGTCCATTTTATCTGATATTAGGATTGCAACTCCCCCCTGGTTATGGGGGCCATTTGCTTGGTAGATTTTATTCCAGCCTTTCACTTTAAGAATATGTTTGTTTTTATGGGCAAGGTGTGACTCTTGAGGGCAGCAGATAAAAGAATCTTGCTTTTTAATCCACCTAGACAGTCTATGTTGCTTAATTGGAAGAGTTAAGTCCATATTCCCCATTTCTCTAAGTGGAATTACTTCCTATTCTAAGAGAAGAACTCTTTCATTGAGTTTACCTATTTTGAATATTTGCATATAGACATTTGCATATTTGGGGGGACCACTACATTATGAGCTGCAAGAATGAGGCTGTGTTCTACCTTTAACTACCACAACTGATCTAGAAAGGATATTTGAGCAATATCTTGTAACATGTCATATTTCTCTATAAGAAAGAAATTGCCTGGTTTTTGACTCACTCTCAAGGTTCCTCTTTTTTTGGAAAAATGTAAACTGTATCTTTTCTAAGTGATGATTATTTCCTAGCAAGTAGCCTCATTCCATGGTGGCAAAACTTGAAGTAAACAGAATTCCTGGTGTTTTCATTAAAATCCCAGGTTGTCTATTCCAAAGCTTAGTTCAAGGAGTGGATAACAATGGTAATAATAGTAATTAATAATAAGTCTGATGAAAACAGTTATAGTGATCATAACATTATTTATTGTGCTCTAAGTCTATCACTCACTTAAATATTGTTTTCTCTTCACAGTAGCATTATGAGAAAGTGCATCTATTATTTCTATTTTACAAACCAAGGGAGAATTGATGTTAATCATAGCTCATATCCAGCATATTTCTGGCAGTCAACAAATAGTTGCTGATTTAACAAATAAACAAACAAGTATTATAGTTTGAATATGAAATGTCTTCCATGGGCTTATATACTGGGAGTTTACTTGCCAACTGATGGACATTTGGGGAAGTGATCGAAACACAGGGGCTCTGATTTCATCATGGACAAATCTATTTGCTGAGTCATAATTTGATGGCATTATTGGAGGGCAGTGGAGACAGGAAGAAGTGCCTAATTATAGGAAATAGTCATAGGGGGTGTTCCTTTGAAGTGCACATCTTATTCCCAGCCCCTGTGAGTTAACTGCCAGGAGATGAATATCTCTGCCACCCTGTGCCATTTTGCTTTGAGGCACTGATGTCCACAGGAACAGAAACACAATACTAGCCTGTCATGAAGTAGAAAAATCTGAAACTGTGGGCCAAAGTAAATCTTTCCTCCTTTTAATTATTTCTCTCAAGTATTTGTTACATGATCATAGAGTCTAACTAATGCAATCAGGGTGCTATTAGATAGTAGAACAAAGCTGCCACCCATTGACAGGGACAATAAAGCTTTATTTCTCTGGGGTTTCCTCAATGCATGGGCACAGGGGAGTGAGTAAATAAAAAACACTACAACACAGAGCTGAGTGGGAGATCTATACATTCCAGTATTCGTTCTACTAATGTATGCATACCTATTTTATCTTATTGCAAAGAATAATTTAAGGTGGTCCTCTGAGAATGTATACACATATGGAGAATTTACAAAATCCTCTTAACTACAGAGATGTAAATTCAACCATGGGAAAGAAGTCTTCACAGGAGATGGTAGGTGAATTTGGCTCTCAAGAATAGCCAATAGGTGAAGTAGGAAAGTGTTTGGGTAATATGTGTGTATGTGTTTGTGTGTGTGTGTGTGTGTGTGTGTGTGTGTGTGTATGCATGTATATGTGCATGTTTGAAAGGAATCTGTGTCCAATAGAGGACACAAGCCAACCTTAACCAAAAAATGGTTAAGTGGAAAACGGCTCATGAGCAAGGTCTCAAGATTCTGTATTTGGAGGCCCCATTTTTGAAGTCCTGCCTAAAACAGCCACAGCTACATTCCCTGACAACAATCCCTTGTTCCCACTTAGCACACATGGCAAATTATTCTACTTCCATAAGGCCTGCCTGGGTCCCAGAGAGCAGTGATATCTTCCAACTCCGACGAGCTCTTTCTGTGCTTGCTTCATGGTGCTACCTATTCTGCCTTAAATAGCTATCATATCTGTACATACATTCTACTTCCTCTAGCAAGCTTCTAGATGAAAGGCCCTCCCCCCCTCCTCTTTTCTCTCTCTCTTTGTGCAATTCTTCCTTTGATTTTTTCTTTTTTGCACCAAGCACAGTTATTGTTACACAGGGGTTCTCTATAAATGTGAATGGAACTGAATTAAGCTACATTTCCTCAAGGATGACAGATGGAGACCCATTGAAAAGGACCAAGAATAAGCCCCCTCTATTGCCCAATCACCTGTCTGGAACAAGGTTCTATATACCCTGTTTTCTGTGATCTTCTTGCACTTGCAGTGCTCACACTGTGATGAATTGTTAGCTGTTTTGTATTTTAGTACTTGGAAAAATTCTGAAAAATGTTTTCTTATTTTCTTTTCGCAAATGGGGAAAACATCAGAAAGTCTCCTTTTCTACCTACCTGCCAACTAGGCAGACAACATTATTTAAAAATACAATTTCTGACATGAATAGGACTAGTGAGCAGGGACTGGGGCTTGGGATTTTTCTTTTCCCTTTTCTTTGCTTAAGTCTGCTTTTTTGGAGATTTCAGACCCACACACTTATGTCACCAGTCGCAAGTCTCTAATTATGTTCCCCACCAGTAGAAATGAAAGATAAGTGGCAGAGATAGAAGCTTACAGTTGTCAGAATTGATTTCCTGTTTTAATTGAGGGGTATAATATATCAGTCTTTTCCAGCAACAGAAACATGTGTGCTCTGATTATATCTATCAGTCTTTCTGGAATTAGGGTAAACCTAAGAAAGGAGAGAATTGGTGACAGAAATATACTCCTTATTGGTATCTTTTCACTTCCTGAATTAGATGCAGGTTCTTTTTTCCTTGTGCAATTACGAGCTAAAAATATCAATAATGTGAAGTACAATTTATGCTGTGACTGCCCTTTAAAAGTGAGCCCTTCCTTGCCTCATTCAGATTGAGAATTTCTGTGTCTGTTTTTTTTTTTTTAATTCATTCAGCCTCATGTATTCTGGTGAGGTTTTTCACTTTCTCTGCTACTTAGAAAGTGGCTAGGAAATTCATTTTCAAAATATGAGTCTCAGGTTCCTAAACTACTTGTGGAAAGTACCTCTGAGCTGCTGAATGTGAACAGTGTGAAAATTAACCCAGATGGTGCCCTACTAAAAGGCCATAGAACACATACCCAAAGAGGTGAGCATTAGGAACTGAATGTCATCTTTTGTGAGCCAGAAAAACTTTTCTCAAGGCCACTGCCCAACAAATATGGATCCTCTTGCCTAGCATTTGCAAATCACAGCTGTAGCTATCTACAGAAATGCACTTATAACTCACGTGATTGACCAATAGGTTAAGCTAAGGATCTGGTCAAATAAAAATTGTTTAAAAAGGCAAAATTCTGTATTTTCCTCAAAACCTCTCTTACAGAAGGACCTATATAACAAAAAAATGAGGAGGGGAGGGGTATTTTTCCAGGCCTATGGTTTAGTGGCTTTGATCTTGATGCTGTACTTACTAATCTCAAAGCATGAATAATGCTGTAGGAATAAATATCACCAGAAAATATCCTGAGGAAGATAGGACCTGGGTCAGGGAAGAGGCTATGAAAGAGCACAAACCAGACATGCATATGTTAATGAGGGAGAGTGAATTGCTCCCTGTGTTTGCCCTCTGTTGCCTTCCATTCCTGGAGTGTCAGGGATGTACAGGTTGTTGCAGATGGGAGCTTTAGGACAAGGTTTGTTCTGATGACCAAGTTAAAGAGCTTGGAGAAGTTGAACTATTAATCAAACATCACAGGCAGAATGCTGCCTATTTCACATACCCAGACTCTCTGGATGAGTCAATTTTATTACAACTAGTGCCATACAGAGACGATTCTCAGAGAAACCTCGAAACAGAAGCTAAGCTGGCTATTCCCAAGGATGAGCAATTCTTGCCCTGGTTAGGGGCTGGTGATAGATAAGATATTGAAAGGCCTCATTGAATCCTGGGAGTCTATAGCTCAGAGAGAAGCAGGGACTGCCCCATGCCAGACAGACTTCAATAGATCTGACAATGGGAAGGAAATAGAGCAGGTGACTTACTTGTGGAAGTCCTCAATGCAGTGAATGAGCCCACCAGCGTCCACGGTGAATGGGATGCCATCCAGGCTGCGGTGGCACATCACACAGGTGAAACAGTGAGGATGATAGGCCTTCCCAGTGGCACGGAGAATCCGTTCCATGATGGGCTTGGAACACACGTTGCACTGCTCCAGAGTATTCTGAGGAGGAAGAGGAGACTTTATTAGCCTGGGACTGAAGGAGCTCTGAAGAGGAGGAGATTTTTTTTTTTTTTTTTTTACCAAACATCTACTTATCCCAGGACTGAGTGGGGCAGAGCACATCTATTTACAAGAAGCAAACAAGGCGGCCAATCGACTTTCCTTGGGGCACCCAGACAGTAGATACCAACCCCAGGATTGTGAATCTATGCTTTCTTACTTCATCCACGCTCTTTCCCTCTATAGCGAGAGTAATGGCAAAGTAATCTCTAAATGTCCAGACAGTAAGCAGTTCTGGCTTTGCTGGAACAACTTGGTTTTGCCCTGTACTTCTCAAAAACTTCTCTACAAAGAACATAAACTAAGGGCATGAATGTGTTCTAGTAAAGCTTTATTTACAAAAACAGGTATTGGGCTAGATGAGGTCTCTGGCTGCAGTTGGATAGCTGAATTACACCAGATTTTCCACCTAGTAAATAATTTCCTCTTACTTGTAATACTTGATTTTTTTTTTAGAGAATGGTTTGTCTGATAATTGACACAGTATACCCAATTGAAACTTAGTACTAACAAAGGTTCTGGTCATTTAAAATGTTGATTCAAACACCCTCTCTAAGTGTAGGGTCCATGAACTCTTGATAGAAATGTTGAAAAGGGAATTGAGAAATACATGTTCTCTAGCTTTAAAATATGTTGTGATTAAAAAGATACATATAATCCTGAAGAGAGACACCAGTCTGTGAGCTAGCCTTCAGAAGATCAAATATTATCTTTCTATCATTCTCTAGGATCCCATGTACTATTAAACAATTTTACTTCAACTAATCTATCTGGACAAGTCTCTGGAATCTAATAGACCTAGGGTATATGTCTCATTAGAAAGATATGGAACTGAATGGGATATGGAAATTGAGGTGTGATTTTCCTCTTGTTAAGAGAATCTTAAGTGCTTTGAAGTAAGATGTACTTTTATGGAGGTAACTAGTGTCTTGAAATCAGCCCTCTAAGCTGACTTCCTTGTTTGCATCTCTTCTGTAGTACTTCCAGGTAAACAACAGCTTAATGGCTCCATCATGTAGAAAGAGCTAACTCTTTACATGATGTCCAATCTTCTTTCCTAGTGTCATCTCTAGAAAACGACATTCTACACTGCTCACTCTTATTCAAACCTATGAGTAACTTCCAGACGTTTGTGCTTTGGCTCAGGCTTCCAGATGAATGAAAAAAAATGCCATTTTGACCATTGAAGTTACAGCTTAGAAGCCTTCCTGATGATCCCATGTGGAATGAATTGCTTCTTTTTTTTTACTTTCTTAATTTCTTACTCTGAGCAATTTATTTACTTTGCTTACAGCACTTACTAAGTGTACATCATTAAAATTGTTTTTGTAAGCAGGATACTTGTGGCTCATGTCTATAATCCTAGCTAATAAGGGAGCTGAGATCTGAGGATTGTGGTTCAAAACCAGCCTGGTCAGGAAAGTCTATGAGACATATCTCCAATTACCTATCAAAAGACCAGAAGTGAAACTGAGTTCAAGTGGAAGACTTGGGTATAAAAACTTGAGGATAATGATGCAATAAACATAGTTGTGCTGGTAGTTTTAACATGGTCTTGTTTGTGATCATTTGGGTAAATGCCCAAAAGTGGAATTGCTGGGTCATAGGGGAGCTCTATGTGGAGTCTTTTGAAGAACCTCCAAACTGCTTTCCAAAGTGGTTGAACAAGTTTATACTCCCACTAACAATGCAGTAGGGTTCCCTTCTTTCCACACCCCCTCCAGCATCTGTTGTTATCAGAGTTCTTGATTATAGCCATTCTAACTGGGGTGAGGTGGTATCTCAATGTTGTTTAGATTTGCATTTCTTTTATGGCTAGAGAGGTTGAGCATTTCTTCATGTGTCTATTGGCCATTCTTTCCTCTTCAGAGAAGTTTCTCTTTAAGTCTTTAGCCCACTTATTTATTGGGCAGTTGTTTCTTTGAAGATTTGTTTTGGGGAGATTTAATTTTTTGAGTTCATAGCTAAGATATGGAACCAACCCAGATGTCCCTCAGTAGATGAATGGATCAAGAAAATGTGGTATATATACACAATGGAATTCTATGCCTCCATCAGAAAGAATGACATTGCCTTATTTGTTAGGAAATGGAAAGACTTGGAAAAATTATATTAAGTGAAGTAAGCCAGGCCCAAAGAAACATAGGTCCCATAGTTTCCCTTATTTCCAAAAACTAGTATATGTCTGAGTCAACCAGAAAAGGTCAGCTAAGTTGATGTTAGGGAAATGAACCCCAAGATAAGTGTTCAAATGTTTTTTTGTTTTTGTTTTTTTTCCTTTCATGCAATTGTTTCTAGCATATTTATAAGATGATTTCGATGTTGCTTTGTATGTCCCTCCCCCACGGTATAACCCATGCTTTCACTGTATTTAATGTTGGTATAATTTGTGGAGGGGAAGGGAAAAAACAAATAGTTTAAATAGGGATACAGGTGGACCCATTGCAACAATGAGATGTACAAGTCGTTATGTCGTAAAACGAACTTGACAACTTTGGTGGGGGTAGAGGATCGGGTTGGGGGGAGAGGATCGGGTGGGGGGAGGAGGAGGAGTATGGGAAGGGATGGAAAGGGGAAACAAAGAGGAGGCAACAATGCTTGATAAGAAATGTACTGGTTATATTTCCCATGTAATTATAACTCCTCTGTATGGTAGTCTCACAATAAAAAAAATAAATAAACTTGAGGATAAGCCAGATGTCAGTGGCTCACACCTGTAATCCTAGCTACTCAGGAGGCTGAGATATGAGGATCGTAGATCAAAGCCAGCCTGGGCAGAAAAGTCCGCGAGACCCTTATTCCTAATAAACTACTGTGGCTCATGTGGTAGAGCATTAGCCTTGAGCTGAGGAGTTAAGGGACAGTGCCCAAACCCAGAGTTCAAGCCCCGTGACCAACAAAAAACAATCAACACAACAAAATAATACCCACTTACGGATAGCACCCAGACTCTGCGCTCGAGCCCCAGGACCAGTACATACAAAATTGTTTGTGTATAGGTCTATTTTCTCTACTACTCTGTAATTTCAGTAGGGGAAGGGACTGAATCTTAATATAATTCTCAATATACTTTTTGGAATAAAAGTATGCTGAGAATGAATATATGGAGAAAGAATGAAGGAAGGAAGACTATTTATTTAATCATTCCAGGGTAGCCCTGTGCTGGCCATCTCCTCCAACCCTGGATTCTATCCCAAAATGAATTGGTAAATCCATCATCATCCTCTCCTCAGAGCTGTGGTTGCCTGAGGTTCTAAAATTGCTTGGTATGCCTTTGGTCACAGACTAAACTCATGGAAACTATTAACCTATTTTCCCCCATTTTGAAGTGGTGAAATTAAAATAGCATAAGAGGGCAGGATGAGAGTCTGGAGCTGATGATGGTCTGGAGTATGAGGGCCCTGTTTCTTTTCTATCCTGGTGATCTGAGTTAATGTGGCTGGAAATTATCTTCCCAGAGCTTGTGTTTTACTTCTCTGTGGGTTTTAACTTTTTCCCCTTTAGACTCAGCCCTGTAATAGAGTTGAACAAACCAGAAAATGCTTGACCAGAAAATATTTTGTTTGTATTGAGGCTTGGCTCCGATATTCAGTTCACTAACTTAAAACCAGCAGCAATATATAAGGTTTGGTCGGTTTCTAAGGAGAGACTGTCTGCTTCTATGGAAGCATTGCTCACAGGACAGGTAATCTAAACACTCTTCTGCTATAAAGGACACAAGTGTGGAATATGCCTAAAATTAGCCTCTTGCAAAATGTCTCTAAATCAGAAAATAAAGGTTCAGAGAAAGCCTTGGGTGGCTGCTGGGTCTAGTGAATGATGACACACTAACTTTCACTAGTCAACTCTCTCTCTCTCTCTGGCTTCCCACTGACCCACTAGTATACTTGGAACTTTAGCTTCTCTTAGAGAAAAGGTAGATGTCTATGTCCACACCTGTCTGAATGAGCCTGTCTCATCTGATCTTGAAAGCTAAAGAGGGTCAGGCCTGATTAGTATTTGGATGGTGAAGGGGTAGTGTCTCAGAATGTGGGGGAGGATGCTAGGAACTCCTATAGTCCAGGAGTTCATTTCCCAAGTGAGCCAAAAGTCCTGGAGAACTAATACATTGAAATGAATCAGAGAGTGCGAGAGAGAAAGAGAGAGAGAGAGACAGAGAGAGAGACAGACAGACAGACAGAGACAGAGACAGTCTTTAAGTAGTTGTACAAAGGAATTGCCACTTAACAAAGCAGTTTATGAATACAATCCATCTTGATTAATCTCATCCTTTCCAACATTTTCACCTGTCCCTCTCCATAGCTACACCTTCCCTCACCTCTTCTTAATTTTGTAGGATATTCATTGAATTCTTGAAGGGCAAATGGGAATGGTACCCAGCTTTCCTGATTTACAATAATTTAGAGAGCAACTGACACATGTATTATGTAGCCATAAATGGGCAAAGTTTTGAATTATCCTTCTACGTTTGTCAATAGTTATAATATTTTGGGTAAATAATTTCTTCTCTAGCTCTCAATGGAAATGATTAAATGTAACTCTGCAAATTTATCACTGTTATTTATGAGTATTTCTGACATAGGAAAAGGCCAATGTTTCCATTATCAAAGATGTACAAGAAAACTGGATAACAATCCCTGAACAGAAGTTTGAAAGTGGGGCTCGTCTGTTAGAAACCTCAATTGTATTATGTTTAATATGTCATACCACTTATCATTTTAGAAATTGCTAATGACACCATTTCAACCACCACAAAGGAAAATTGTGTATCTTATGCATGCTTATTATTTTCTAGACAGACCAAAATGTGCACTCTTCATGAAGATATTAAGTTTTTCTGAAGTAGAATAAAGTAAAATGATTCATAAGAATACTTTTGAAGAAAACAAGAAAGACTTCAGTAGAGTAGATGGGAAAGGGCGGTGTCTCAGTATGCCTGT